TTCTACTAGTACCCCGCCGCGGCAACCGCGAACAACCGTCACCACTACAGGCGTAAAACGCGCCGTGAAATGTGCTACTAATTTTACATACTTAGCTATTACATTCTATAGATGCAGGCAGACGCGGGTGAAAACCGCTCCATGATTTCTTAGTGTAACGAAAAATGAGTTTCAGCGCCATCTAACATGTAATAGTTAGCTATTATACAGGGTGGAAAGTAATGCCACTTGGAAGGAAAGTACGTTAAATACTGGAGATAGAAATTTTTAGTTAAACGAAACATTCCTTTATTTTTAAAAAGAGATAATACTGCATTCAAAGATTTTCGAAGATTGCTAGCCACACGCGGGAATCGAACTCGCTAAAATCTTTAAAAAAATGCATCCTGTACTTTTATTAAGTCAATCTATAGGGTCAATTATGAAGATGTAATCTCTCTTATTTATGGCGCTCCAGCTCATAAGAGCAGAGTCACTACTGCCTACATTAGTAACCATTTTAATACCTGTATTGGTACAAACGGCACAATCAGATGGCCTACGAGATCACCAGATCTCACCCCTTTAGATTTTTTTTTGTGGGGACATGTTAAAAATCAAATTTACCTTAAATCCTATGCGAGTGTAAACGAGTTGAAAGCTGAGTTCAGAATACGATTTGTAACACAATTTATCACAACACGTTATTAAAAGTTACTCAAAATGAATTCGTTTAAAGATTAAATTCGTGTATCCAAGAAAATGGAGCACATTTCGAGCAACTAATTAGTTAGATTACCATTTTTTTCGTTTTATTAAAATACGTTACGATTTCATGGTTTTTTTTTTTTCATTTAATTAACCAATTTTGTGAGAGAGATTTTATTCTTATAATTAACCCTGTCGCTCGATGCAATAACAGTGCAGGGTGCAATTTTTTCCGATTAAGGCGGGTTCGATTCCCGCGTGTTGCTAGAAATTTACGAAAATCTATGAATGCAGTTTTATCTCTTTAAAAAAATAAAGGAATGTTTCCTTTAAGTAAAAATTTCTATCTCCAGTATTTAACGTACTTTCCCTCCAGGTCGCATTACAAATTTCCAGCCGGTATACTAGTAGCATTTTTACTAACAACGCCACCTGATGGTGAATGGCTGAACCAGGATGAAAAAAATACTGAAATATTGTAATATAACTCTTACTCAAGTGACTGTAAGTTTAATTTTGTTAAATTTTAAAATTATGTTACGTCGTTTTCACGTTTTAAGTCCTACCCAATCAAAATCTTTAAGTTATGGTAGTAGACAAAAGAGCGTAAAGTTTGAACTGCACACAAGCTAAAAAGTGGCGACATCGGCACCCGATCTTACATAGCGTCATTACATATCTCCCCTTTTTTTCTATATCTATGATGAAACCTTTCACAAGGAGTTTACTGCTACTGAATGTCATTACTCATTAATCATGAAGTCTCACTCAAAGATGTTTTTCTTTACTGTAATTTTTTTTCTAAAGAATTTTGTTTATTGTAATCCAAACATGTACTCATGGTACAAATTATGAAAACCCTATTTTTGGAATTGCTCGTGATTCAAAGCTCCATCTACAATATTCTACAGAAACAAGTAACAAAACCTAGTTCAACTTAAATGAGAACCGCAAATTCCTCTCCTAGTTCAGATCAAATAAGTTAGGTGGCGAAATGCTGAAAATTAACGAATTTTTTGGGTTTTTTTTTCTTTCGTTTTTTCGTTTTTGTTTTCCATTTTTCAATTGAACGTTAATATATAAACAATATTATACATTTGTTTAGATATTGTTTTTCGTATTAGTTTAAGGTTTATGTTAATATATTTAGTGCCACTGCTATAAGTTCACAATGAAAAAAAGAAATAAGAAAGAAAGAAAATGCATTTTCCTTGACTATACCACAAATGACACCACAATAGAAAAAAAATAAAATGGAACGAAAAGAATTTAAAAAACAACAAAATCGGAAACTAAATAATTTGAAAAAATGTACAAAACTAAAATACCAAGCATAATTCTTTTTTTTCTTTATTCTGTGTGTCAGTTGAAGTGTTGGCAAAAATGGCGGGTTTTTGTAGTTACAGTTTTTTCACAAATTCTTAAATAATGTTACTTTTTTAAGCTGATGGCTCATAACCAATGCCCAACAAATAAATAAAAAAATATAAAGTATTGATAACTTTACAGTTTTGCTGGTAAACGGTCCAGCGCCCCTGGCGGTAACAAAAAGAAGTAAAATTTCGAATTTATATTTGCGCAGTCGGTCGTTAGCGACAAATTGTTCACAAACTTATAAACTCATATGTTAAGTTTAATATGAAAAATCTGTCAAAAGCTTCCCGAGTTTCCCACTAGAGGTGCTACCGCTTCCGCATGCGTACAAACTTCCTTCATTTTTTAGTGCCCCCAAACTCATGAATGGCACTCCTTCAAGCCTATGCACGTGTAGTATTAAACCTAATTTGTTAATTAATGTTAGAAAATGTTAGCTCTAATCTCATACAATAATTGTAACGAACCAATTAGGTAGTGTTGTGACGTAACCCGTGGGTTTTCCCGGTGATATTGACAATAAGAAACAAAAATAGGTGAGTACTACACTTGTTTTTCTTTTAGATTGTAAGTAATTTTGGGAAGAAAAAATATTTTTACGCTATTTTATCCATGTTTTATGATATGTTGGGAGTATAATCGATAAAAGCAGTGAAACTTTATGTTAATGACTCGGCTGCCTTTCCTTGAAAACAAAACTGCGGTAATTTTATCGATTTCACACTTTCAGCGCGATATCATTTGTGAATGGTCTCTAACTTAGTAATGTTATGATCAAAATCAATTTTTCAAGCTCTAGGACGTCATGTAATATTAGGGTCAAGGCTATCACTACGGAAGTTGAATAATATTTCTTTTTTTTCGTATTAGTTTTTTTTTAGGTTACTTGTATTTTTATATACTTAGACATTCTGAGTTGAGCTTCACTGGTTAATTGTTTATGATGTTTAGGAACAGTTTAATTTCGATTTTAGCATTAAATATGAAACTTAACTTGGCGTATGCTAACTGCGGCCGAGTATAGGTTAAATCATACACCTGTCAGTTTTTTAAACTGCAATTTTGAACGCTATTTAAACGGAGTAAGATGGAATTTTCAACAATGAATTTCGAAAAATCATAACTCGTGTATATTTGTTTTTTCAAAGCAATGCACGTTTCGGACTTTTTACTACTTAGGACTTGTGTGACTTAGGGTCATATTCTAGAACTCTACTCAATGCTCAAGTCAGGATTGCAAGTGAAACACAAGCACTGGAAATACGACCCTAATGGCAGGTACTTGAGTATGATTTCAAGTGCTTTGAATCATACTCAAGTCCTGACCTGAGCATTGAGTAGAGTTCTAGAATACGACCCTAAGACTCGGAAAAAAATTTCCTATGTTTAACAATCGCGAAAACGAACCCGATCTTAAATTTATCGAGTTCTTAGGTTTTCGCGATTGTTACACATAGGAAATGAAACTATTTTTCCGGATTTAAATCCGGAAAAATAGTTTCATTTCCGATCTTAAATTCCTTTCCCGTTAATTAAGTGTTATCAAAAAATGTTGGCAATTTGGTTTCATATATTTTTTTATAAATATACTCTACAGTTATTAAGGATACAAAGATCGAACAAACATAAAGAAAAAATTCTTCGACCCGGCTGGGTTCAAACCAGCGTGTTTGCCAGACCGTGGCTACCGCACTCCCAACTGAGCTATGAAACGAATTAGTAGATCTTATGAATTTGTATGAGCTTGTAGCGGATCTTTGTTTTTGGACTCGTCGTTTTTGCCGTACCGCACCGATACCTGTGAGAAATCTATGAAATTTGGTTAACATTAAAAAAAATAATTAAACAAATTTCGTATCGTGCAATAATTTCCTAAAAATAATTGTATAATCTTTCTCATAGATGGCGCTACGGCAAATAAATCGTTAAAAATAAAAAACTACAACAAATATTTGGTTAAAAATTAAAAAAAATCTGCAACAAGCACAAACAAATTCTTAAGATCCGCTAGTTAGTTCCGTGTCTTAGCGTGCATAACGTCTGGCACGGTTTAAAATACGTTGGTGGTTGGTATCGAAGGAAATTATTTTGTAAGTGTTCGATGTTTGTATTAATAATTTAAACAAACTAGTCGAGTAATGTCACAAAAATATTGTATGCCATTATGGTAAAAAATCGTGACATTAAATAAAAATATGAAAAAATAATTACAATAAAAAATTATTCATCTTTCAGCAAAATGTCAACAAGTCCCTTCCCGTACACTTGTGAACTATGCGGGGTGGAAGGACTGACGGACGAAGGCATGCGGTCTCACACTTTGGAGGCCCACGTACAGGGGAGGCCAGAGTGTCCTTTCTGCGACTGTGCCGTACCTCAACCACAGCTTGTTGGGCATGTTCAGAGGGCGCATTTGCATTACCTCACCCCTGAAAGGGAGTTGATGGCCTTTATAGATGATCAAAGTCCGAGGTACGTTTTTTTTCTTTTTTTATGATATAATACGACGCGGCGAACAAGTCGTGAGCTTGGTAATAGGCTGTCCATGACTGTTGCAGTGCCACTCAGAGTTTGAAATAAAAAAAAAGTGCACTGCCATAGCGCCCATTACCCTGAGACTTATGTTGACAAGTCCCATGTGCCTGTTATTTAACCAGCGCCCTTACACTTCACTTGACATGCAAAAATAGATTAGGTAATTAATTAAATTAATATTATTAAGGATAAGGAAAGTATTTGTGAGCTCTACTGCTGCTACAAATAAAGATATATACTATTCATCGTTTTATTCCTTCTCACTTGTTTACCTATTTTATATAATAATAATCGTTTTAAGCCTCTTACAAGCGCTTGATCTGTAGTCGCAAGGTTATTGGTCCTCGGACTTTCCAGCTATACAGTTACGGTTGTATTCCAGAACTCTACTCAATGCTCAAGTCAGGACTTAAGCATGATTTAAAGTACTAGAAATCATACTCCAATCCTTGCCATTAGGGTCGTATTTCCAGTGGTTGAAATCATACTCAAGTCCTGACTTGAGCATTGAGTAGAGTTCTAGAATACGACCCTTAGTATAATGAGAGTCTGGGGAATAAATTTACTTACTGCTTAGGTAATAATCTATATTTATATAATTATCTCAAGGTCATCTTTCCCCTAACTTTTAAGGTGGGTTAACCTGTGTTATGAAAACCAGGGGAATACGTCTGTTTACTACTTAGGTAATTTATTTATTTATATTCTAATATTGTCTCAAAGTTATTTGTCCCGTGACTTTTAAACTAGATTCACCTATGTTATGAAAGCTAGAGCCACTTAAATATGTTCTTCTTGGCGTGTCGATTCTGACGTTTATATTTGTGAGAACCAGTAGGTACTTAGCGACTGAGATAGCATTATCAGTGGCGTTGTACAGGTCCTCGCGTGTACAGGTGTAGGGCAGGACAAAAGATGTACCATTGTCTTTGGATAAACACCACACGGACATGCGCTCTCCGAGCTGTAACTCCACCCGTGCGTGCACTCCTTGCTTCGGCCGACTTGGGTCCGCAGCCTATTAGGGACTTCAAATTTTGCCTAGGTAAATCATGCCCAGGGATGTGTTCCGACAGCGGGATGAGTGACGCCGTGGGTCTCTCCTTCCAGAGACTTATTCGAGTCTGCGTAGTTTCCCCGTCCAGAGCGTATACCTACTTCTTTAATGAAGCTATGGCGACTCTTTGGCCTCTGGACTACGGGCATGTGATGGTGTAATGGGTGCCGCGGGTCCAGTCTCCTTTTTTGAGCGTTCCAGGGAGCTAGCCACATCTCTTAAATATGTTATCTTAACGTTATCTGTCCCCTGACTTACGAGCCAGTTTAACCTGTGTTGAGAAATTCAGGGGAATATATGTATACCCATGGTAATATTAAATTAATAAAATTTGTAGTTAGGTACCAGGATTGCAAGTTTATTTTAGTAATTAAAATGTATTCACTTTCCTATCCCAGTTTCGACGATGATTCCAAAATGACGACAACAGACAGCTGCAGCTACAACACCCCTGGCTCAATCAATGGCTGGCACAGCCCTGATACCTCCGCATCCTTCCACAACGGTGCCATCTCAAAAAACTCCTACCACAACGGGTTTCAAGATCTAAGGAACGACAAAGACAGCTATAGTATCAAAAGTGACAAAGACTATAGAAATGACAGGGACGAAGAAAGATGCTCAAGATCACCAAAAAATATAAATTTGACGAATGGAATGAAAAATGTAAATATCAGCAATGGAGTTATTCCGAAAAAGTTAAACAGACAAAGCTCTGCTGACGGAGAAGTCGTTAATGGACATGTTTACGATAGAAAAGGTGCTCATTTAAGTCCAAGTCACAATTCCAGTAGCTATGAAGGATCACCAAATAAAAATAAAGTAAGTGTGGTGACTACAAAATGTTAACATTATCTTATTTATTAAAACTATATTTATTGGCAAATTGTTTACAGCTTTCAATGGCGAGTGCTGGGCAAGGTTCACCACTAAGATCTCAATTAGCTTTAAAATTAAAACCTAACACACCTAAAAAGTCAGCTCCAACACCAAGTCCGACGGAACAGGTACACCAAGTTTCTTTTTTAATGCTGATTTTTATCTAATCTGAAACGAGCTCAAACTCCAATGGCATCTAGCCATGAACTATTCTATTCTATTTTTAAAAAGAAGGATGGCTTCTCTTTTAGAATTTTGCCAATGTCTAGTCAGTCATGGGAGTTACACTTTTATTTATTTTCCAATGTTTAAACATTTAACGCTGCTCTTTAGTCTATTCCAATTCTGAAACAATACAACACGACACAATATAGGTACCATCACCATTAATGATATAAATAAAATAAAAATAAATAGTGTTATAATTTAAGTTTGTTAATACTAATAAAATCAGTAATTAATTTCAGTAGAGGATTTGAAAAGACATATAGCAGAAACTGGAAATTTACGGGACGCGGAATGGACGGTGGAAGACTATCGTAGATGGAACAAGTTCTGGAAGGGCAGCTGAAAAATATATGGTCTGGGGTACCTTCATCTAGGCCACATTCACAAATTGAGTTGTCCCGTATTCTAAGTTTTGCCAGATGGACCGGGGTGCAGGCATGACCAAGGCGAAGTCGGCATATCGTAGAAGTTACAGATTTACTGAATCTTTTAAGGTTAAAAAACCAAGGTTTTTTGGGGATACTTATTTGGATATCAGCATAGTACTTGCCCTTGATAAGCTTGATTTTATTCCACTCATTGCTCCATGAGGAAAACATATCATTGGTAGCTAAAGGCAGGAGGTCATAGGTATATGTCCTATAATGATTAAGGCAACCTGTTTGGATAGCGTTTTTCGCCAGTATGTCTACGGTTTCATTGCCTTGGATCCCGCTATGACCTGGAATCCACGCCAATACAACCTGAATGTTATTACTATGGCATTGATACAAGACCTCCTTGATCTTCAGGATATTATGGAATTTACTTTTACTAACAAATTGGTTTGCCAGAATAGCCTGTAAACAGCTTTTTGAGTCTGAAAAAATTATACTTTTGTTCAGTTTGTGAGATTCAACATAACTGAGAGCTTCAAGTAGGGCAGTAGATTCTCCTGTGAATATTGATGCCTGAGATGGGCATTTACAGTTCAGAATAATTTCATATTTTGGGATCCATACAGCCGCACCGACACAACCATCAGCAGCCAGCTTGGAAGCATCCGTATACACAGTCAACCAGCCCTGCCAGTCCTTAGCCAAGGCCTTATTAAACTGTCTGTCTGCAGCAGGGGAATCTTTGTAAATACCAAAGTCCAAGATTATCTCAGGTTTAAATATTATTACATCATAAAGACAAGAAAAAAAGGGATTTTTAGCGCATTGGAAAACGGGAGAATTGATTTTGATAAATTTGTGGTAACTTTTAAGAATGCAGGGTATATCTTTGATTTGCCAATATTTAGAAGATCTAGTTAGATCAGACAGTTCGTGAAGCTTGGCCAGAAGAGGGTGAGGAGATAGTTGCGCCACCTTGTACAAAAATCTATCAGCGAGAAACTGCCTTCTTAAAAAGAGAGGGGGTTCCACACACTCAACCTGGAGAGCATTTATTGGTGTAGACTTCATGGCTCCAATGATGAGACGGAGACACTTTGATTGGATTTTGTCCCACAAATTGAGGGCAGTTTTATGACACGGTTCCAATAAAAACGAGCCGTAGTCAAAGTGACTACGGATTATGGCATTGTACAATATTTTTTGACAGAATGGGTGGGAACCCCACCAAGTGCCTGACAGGGAGCGGAGAATATTAATGTTAGTCTCACACTTTTTGGCAATAAAGTTTAAATGAGGGACGCCCGTCAATTTGGAATCTAGTATGAGCCCCAGAAATTTGAAATTGTCAAAGATTGTTATACGCTGGTCTAGGAAATTGACTGGAACTTGTGGGGTGAACTTTTTCCGGGAAAAAACCACTACACCACTTTTAGGGGCAGACAAAGAAAGACCATGGTCAGTTAGCCAATCGCCTAAGTACTGTAAAGCAGTATTCAGACGGAGACCGATGTCATCCAGTGACGAGCCGTGGGCATAAATAGTCAGATCATCAGCATATTGGAGGATACTACAAAAACTGTTCACTGATCTCTCCAGATCATACGTATAAATATTGTACAGCAAAGGACTGAGAACAGATCCTTGCGGAAGGCCCCTCCAGACGTTCCTTGATGCGACAAAGTTTCCTTGGAAACGAAACAAGCATGTCCTACACGAGAAGAGATTAAAAATGAAATTGGTCAATCTTACCGGGATGCTCAGCTGATGCATTTTTTGCCTGAGCAGGGGAAGAATCACACTATCATAAGCAGCGGAAATATCCAAGAAAACACCAATCAGAGACTCATTCTTTGAGAAGGCCAGGCGAATATCAGAGACCAGGAGACTTATGCTATCCATAGTGCCGCTACCCTTCCTAAAACCAAACTGGCTTTTAGCTAAAATATCTCTATTTTCCAAGAGCCACTCCAACCGATTTTTAATAAGATGCTCCATGATTTTCGCTAGGGTAGAGGATAACGCAATGGGACGATAGTTGGAAGAGTCTGTAGCATTTTTGCCTGGTTTCAAAATAGGGATAACCACATGCGTCTTCCATTCCTCCGGAGGATACCCTGAGAGGAATATGGAGTTAATAATTTCTAAAAATGTCATCTTAGCAGAAGTCCTCGCATTTTTCAAGAAGGAATATGGTATTCCATCTACTCCTGGGGAGGAGTCCTTAAGTTGGTCCAAAACTAGGAGCAGTTCTGAGAACGAGAATGGGTCATTCATACGATCTGGAGAAGCCAAGGCGGCAGCAAATGCAGAAGCCTCCTCTTGACTGGGGACCCATGGAGGGCATAGCTTGTTCACAAAACCATCGAGCCAACATGAAGGATCGAAGCTGGAGGGATCGTTATTGCGTTGAGAACAGCGAAATCTTTTGATGTTTTTCCAAATGATAGAAGGAGGAGAACGGGGTGAAATGGTTTCGCAAAACCGCAACCAACCAGATTTTTTCTTCTCTGAAAGAAGCCGTTTGGCTTGGGCCGCTGCATTCTGGTAGTGTAAAAAGTTATTTGTGGTCATAGAGCTGTTATACTGGATTTCAGCTTCTTTTCGTTTAGTAACAATAGTAGTACACTCGTGATCCCACCATGGAGGGGAAGAGATTAGGCTCCGAGGTGAGTTTTTAAGGGGGATAGAGGCCATTGCGGAAGAATTGATTGATGCTACAAATCTGGAATAGGTTTCTTGAAGAGATAAATCCCCAACACTGGGCAGGGACTGTAGCTCTAAATCCAGACATTGACCATACTTGTCCCAGTCAGCCTTAGAGGTGTTAAATTTTAATAGAGAAGAGTGTTGCTTCGATGGAGTGCAGCTGCTTGTTACAGAAACGAGTATGGGGAAATGATCACTTCCGAAAGTATATGGAAGAGTCCTCCAAGAAGAACTGGGCACTAGGCTTGGAGAGCACAAAGTAATGTCCACAGCTCGTCTTGTATCCTGGAGAGGGAAAGATCTACGTGTCGGAGATCCATCGTTGAGGAAACATATATTAAACTCATCAAAGATGTCTAATAAAAGATAGGAGAATGTGTCATTTTTATAGGAACCCCAAGCAGTGTGGTGACTATTAAAGTCCCCAAAGATCATGAGAGGGGAGGTAATACTAGAAAACAATAGATTAAGCTCAGGAATGAGGGAATGATGTGGGTGGGGAATATAGACAGACATGAATGAGATATTAAAAGCCCTGACTGCAACAGCATTAATTTCATTAGTATTGTGGTCAGGGAGGGAAACTTTATGGAAAATAATTGAGTGTTTTATTAAGATTAGAGTACCTGCGTACCCATCGGCACGATCCTCTCGGACACATGTATAGCCCGGGATACGGAAAAAGGATCCCGGAACCAGCCACGCCTCCAAGAGGACGATGATAACGGGTTTATATTTATTTATAAGGTATATGAGATCAGGTTTTTTAGGTCTAACACTCCGACAGTTCCACTGCAGAAGGTACAGATCCATTGTAAAATTTATTGACGATAGGGGAAAGTTTATTAAGCACGTGGGACGGTAAATCAGTGTCATCAAAACGGGATAAGATATTTAAAAGTGTAGAAAGTAGTAAATCGAGGAAGTTGTCATTATCTGGTGTATTAGACCTATTTAATAAGGCGGAGCCGTTAGGTAAAGAGGAAGAGGGAGTTGCGATTAATTCCATGTGGGTTTGGTTGTCATAGCCTGAGGTTTGGCGGGGTGGCTTTGGTTTCTGGTTTGTTGTTACGGTTTTTCTATATGAAGTGGTGGCTGGACGGGAGGGTTGTGGAAAGGACAATGAGTCAGATGGTATATGTGTGGATGTAGATGCAACGTCGGCGAAAGACCGTCTGACGGCCGGGAAGCGAACAGAGGCTTCTAAGTAAGAGACTTTTTCTTGTGACATCACAAGCTTTATTGACTTTTGCCTTGATAGTTCGGGGCAGTTTTTGTCGTTAGATTGGTGCAAAGCTGAACAGTACAAACATGTTGGGGTGGTTACACTACATGTTTCCCCAGAGTGGGGTTGGGCACATTTATAGCACCGAGGTTTGGACCGACATTGAGCTTTGACGTGGCCAAAGCGGCAGCATTTCAAGCATTGGATGGTGGGGAGGAGATAGCTTTCCACAGGGAGAGAGGAGTAAAACAAGTAAACATGCTGTGGCAAGGACTGGCCAGAGAAAGTGACTACGACTGATTGAGTGGGGATCCACTCAGTAGTATCATTGTGTGACACCTTTCTATTTAGACGGCGGGCTTTAATGATATCGCCAGTTCCTGAAGGTAAGACTAGGCTCTCTACTAGTTCGTCCATTGTGAGGTCATTTGGTATACCTCTGATTACTCCCATGCGGGTAATTATGTGGGTGGGGATGATAGCCTTGTAGTCCGCCTGACCGAGGATTGGATTTTGTACAAAATTGTTTGCTTCATGTGCTGAAGCAAATTGCATTGACAGCCTATTGCGACCAACAGCCTTCAGGCTGCCATTTATAATATTTTTAATTTTATTTTTGAATAGAAATTGGCCAAACTTGACAGGTCTTAGTGTTAAACCACTATCTGGGGCAGACTCCAAACGTGAGACTTGAACTACAAATGGACCTTTATCATTAGTAGAATAAATTTTCTTTTCCTCGGCATTGGGGTGCGTATAAATGGTTTGTATAGATGCCGATGGGGTTACAAATTCAGTAACGAGTTTTTTTGGGGTACTGTTATCAGTTTCTGCTATACAGCTTTTCCGTTTACTACCAGATATTGTAGGAGTAATCGACGTAAAAAGGTCGGGGGATGGCGGCAGCGGCCCCGACTCCCCGGATATATCCGGAGGGTCAGTACCGCCTCCTTCAACCTCCATATCAGACATAAAACTACATATAATTTACCTTCACCACGCAAAACACACACAACACAATAAACGGCACGCACAGATATGGGAAATCTACAGAAATAAACAAATTCGCAGTTCAGAGAGTAAGAAAAGGGTCAACAAAATCTTTAGCAAAAAAAAGAGCACGTGTATCTTCCAATCACTCTGACCGAATCAAGAGATTGATCCTAGCCATGAACTAAAAATTAACTGTCACTGTCAAAAGTTCACCGCCAAATTTTTTTTCAAAATCACTGTGTTTTCGTGTCCTTAAATAAATTATTTTTTTAAATAAAATCTACCGTAAATCAGTAAAAATATTAATTTAGCAAGTAAAAGTTGTTCAAAATTACCCAATTGCAGTGTCTCCTGTGTGAATTCACGTCAACATGTCCGAGAAAACTGGAGGAACATATAAACAGAGCTCACTTCGACTTAACTTCGCCCTCCGTGATGGGCAATGCTAACGCCAACTCCAACGCTAACGTGAATTCGAATACGACATCAACTACAACTGATAACCCGACTTTGGGGTTGAGTAACCCGAGTTTAACGTTGGATAACCCAACATTAGGTTTCTCTGCAATGGCAATGTCTCCTGGCCCTCAGTGCTCGAGTTTCCAGTGTCCGATTTGTGAGAGAGAGTTCTCGACCGGCTCGGATGTGGAAATGCATGTTAATGTGGAACATAGAGACATTCTGAGTCCACAAAAATCCGTAAGTTACTAATTATTTATTACGTCTGTTTTTTGGGTTCAATCAGCTTCGAAATAGACACAAAGAACCAGGCAGACAGAGATTCAATGCATTTAATCATTCATAGACAATTTTGGTATCAGTAAAAAGTTCTTTACTTTCTAGTATTGTACAATATTAAATCAAGTGTTGTTTTGTCCTCACTAAAAACCTACCACATTTCATGTGACAATAATGGCGCTTTTATACCAAGGTGACCGGCGACGACCGCTTGCCCACCGAGAAGGCATGATACCTGGTGTAAATAGTGACTCATCTGACAACCATAGTTCACAGCCGAAGTCAAACAAAGCAACTAAGTATGAATGGTATGGGCGACACTGTTGCCTTCGACAAGCGACAGTTGACTGAACAGGTTGCAACTGTGCCCCACCGTGATTAACATCTTGTTAGCAAAGGCACAGATGAACCAGTATAAATGCATTAGCAACACTAATGTTCCAGGATCAAGTCGACAATACATCGTGTGACGACGTAGTTATGATGGAGGAAAGCCCTGTTAGCAACTGTCCTGTCTGCTGCCAGCCACTCCCACAGTCTCAACATGAACTGGTAACTACATATACCATCTTTAGCATATCGTCACTTAGCAAACAACATTGCTTAAGTAAAGAATTTATAGTTTTTACTATTGAATGTTACACATGTCAAAATAAAACATAAATATCAATAAAAATAATATCACCAAGATATGCAATTATTTTTTATCCATAAATTAACCTATTACTAACAATAGGTAAAAAATCTTGTATACAATAACCTATGCAGGTTTTTAACTCCTATAAAATGACTTGAAATTACTTACGTGGTGTTGTTTGCAAAGCAACAATATGTCTTTAGTCTTCTTGGACAGTTCTGTGATTCGTGCTCCATATTAATTAATTTAATTAAATTCAGCATTATCTGTCTTGAAAATGTAGAATAGAATAGAATAGACATTTATTGCAATACCACAACACATAGATACAAAAAAAAATATTGACACCACTTAGACAAGAAAAACAAAATAAAAAGATGTGATTAACAAAATTAAAATATATAAAAATAAAGTAAAATAAGACAAAACAAACAAAAAGCGAAAAAAAAACTAAATATAAAGACTACAAATGTTGTACTGTCATGTGTGGTTGTGGTGTACGCAAAAGGACTTCATTCAGCTTATGCCACAGCAGTAAATGACTGTGGCGCTGGTTTTCAATGAGCCCTGAGCTGTATCTAGGGTTGTAGTTTGCTATTTTTCTGTTAAATCTCACACTTAAGCAAATTTTCAAGGCAATAACATCTTTTATGTATGGATTGTAGAATGGATCTACACTTCTATCATAATTTTTGAATAATCACCAAAGTACTATGTGCCCAATGCCAACAACCGGCCTTGCTAGTGAAAATCAAGCAATTTAATGAATTATGGAAGCCAATGAATTATGGACTGTATTATATAAACTAAAGTTATATTTATAATTTCACTTGCAAGTAGCTTTCTGTAATAATAATAATCATTTGTTTGTTTGCTTAAAACATTGTATAACAGAAGTTGTAACAAGAGATAGTGCCAGTACAAATATGTCACAGATAACATGCAAATGTCTAGTTCTACAGTGTCAATTACACTACCACAATAATAAGAATGACACAACAACAAGATAAAATTTTATATCTTATTTCCTGTCAAATGTTTCGTATATGTTCATGACACATTATTTTACATTTACAACATGATTTTTAATTATTTAAATTATATAAAAATGGAAGTAAATTAATTTGCTACTCCACGAACCCAGTGAATATTATATTGTGCAAAATAGCTGCACTTGTGTTGAATATTTTTTGGATTTAGGTGTTTTTTTTTTTAGAACAGATGGAAATAATTAGGTACAACAACAGGGGTTGAACAATTGAATTTTGCACTCATTTTTATTCCGGGTATTTTCGGGTTTCAACAATAGTAACACTGGGATTGGTGGGGTATAAATATATACACCATTCTGAACGAATTCATTCTTAGAGCACAATCTACAGCCCCTAAGGATGCCTGGTGGAAAGGCGAAACACGCGTCGGGTATACTTGGTGGTCGTGTTTGTGACTATAGTTGCGCTTGTGTTATTTATTTTATGCAGAGGGAGTGTGGGAAAATTAACTACATGAAAATTCAACACAAACGCAGCTATTTTGCGCGATTTAACCTTCACTGGCTTCGCGAAGTAGCAAATTAATTTACTTCCATTTTTATTAACATGGACTTCCGCAAAAAAACGCCTAAATCTATAAACATTATTTTGATTTAACTACTTGTATAACATCGTTGTAAATAAACGCAAGTCGAATAATTTAATACTAGGTGGTATTTTGTTATATGTCAATTCACATTTTTGAACAATCTTCGCTGTATTTATAACAACTGGAACCCGATAATCTTTGTTGATGAACAGGGAGAAATAAAGTGTTAATTCCAGATTACTCAGAAGACTAATTACTGCATATAGAAGTAACTATATTTTGAATCAGATCCAACACATAGAAGAACATTTCGAGCGCGGCGAGGACGGCGGCGCAGCTGCACTAACAGCAGCAGAGAGAGAAGCCATGAAGAGTAGGGAGGAACATGAGTTCCAGCTATTACGGGCATGTATCCCTTGCTGTCTATCACTATCGTCTGCTTTAAAATATCGTTTATTTATTTATTTGTTCAGAATTACTGTGAATGATAGTAAGTACCAAGGCTTACTATGATTTAAAAAATTCTAGATAATTTAAAATTAAGTACTGGTTAAAATCCATCTTGTCTTCTGTCTAACACTCTCATCCATTTGGTCATCACATCAATTTTATAACTAGAAATAGAGACTAAATGTCATTTAATTTGTTTGAAAACTATTCTGCCAAATCATTACGGTGACAACTGCGCTCCGATTGGTCAGTCCAAATTCAAAACAATTGACGGGTGTATCGACGACACCTTTTTCACTTCAAATCAACCAGTTTAACTTGAGCCTTGCTATATTGGACGGAAATTGCAAAATTACATATTTTATATTTAAGTACCGATGAAATGTGATTCGTCGTTTGTTTTGTAATTAGACGTTTTGCGGTTTTTCCTACACCACCGAATGGAACAGCTCCCCATACTTAGAAATATTATGTTTATTACAATAAACACAGAATATTTTTGGAATACACGGAGACATTCACAGTGGTCAGTTATATATATATTTACAGTTATTTGTGATTTCAGTGTAAACGGAAGTTGATATTTAAAAGTGATATAATGCCCATTCGCCTGATGAGGTGCCAGGGATGGATGGCCCTTCTTTCGTCTCTATTTGTAGTTACGAAGGATCATCACTACCACTCTTAACAAAAAAGCTACAGATTGAGGCAGCGGATCTTATGAATTGCTCTATGTGCTCATTACAGATCTTTTGTCTTGAGTTTGAACTGCTTTTTGCCGTAGTGGGAAACTTACGAAAGTTTCTTCACTCATCCAGGGATCTTTACAACTACCCCAGACTGACAAAAGATGTCGCCACTTTAACTGCAATATTTATTTTTATTGAACATCATAATGTTTTTACTATCATGGCATTCCTATATTTTTTATGAAAGTACTGCACTAGTCTGCATTTATTTTATTGAATTGTTTGAATTTATATTGAATCATCAATTTGCAGGCTCAATATGGCATGGAGGAGGACGACGAAGAGGGCTACACGAACCGCGCAACGAACAGCCTGAAACGCGCCGTGTATAGCGGAGCCTTATCCGTGGCAGGGTACTATGAACGCAGTGTGGGGTTGAAGCGATCGTCGACTTCGGGGTGCGATACTGGCGCTTCTAGGACCACTGGTGAATAAATCTTTTCCAGTTCTTTTTTTTGTTCCTGATACCAAGTCACATGACGAACAAGTCGAGCCACTCAGAGCTTTAAATCGCAAAGATCTGAAGGACACTGCCGCTGCCCTGTCACCCTGTAACGTAAGTTGACAAGTCCCCTGTGCCTGTTATTTCACCAGCACCTTTACCCTTCAAAACCGGAACGAAAGAGGTTTGCTAAGTGGCAGTATTACCCTGGACGAACTCTCACAAGGAGCTCTATTTATTTAACTGCCTCTGTGGTCGAATGGTTATCATGCCGGACTACCACGCAGAAGATAGAGATGCTTCGTATCTTCTGAATTCGCGAACGCGAAGTTTCTTTTTTGTCAATTTCGAAGGACCATGTGCGGCAGCTGCCTTAATTGCCATAGGACACTGGAGGAAACTTCGGTATCATATTCACTGCACAACACGTTTATTCCGACACCGAGAGAGAAGAGAGAGTGTTGCCACATGGCAATTGTTACTTATACAGTTAATGTTGCAATAAAACTATTGAAAATTCCCAACACTATCGTCGATTCCCGGGGCCGGGAGAAATATTGGTATGGCCTACATGTATTTCTCTCGTGAGTTTGGGTGTAATTTGTAATAAACACACACAGGGTTTGCCCTAGTGCGGGGCTATATTGAGTGTGTGCGTTATTATTATTTACTTTGGCTACTATTTAGTTTTTATTCTTTGTGTTGTCAATTTACAGCGAACATCCGCAAATAAGTAAAATTCAGTGTTCGTTGGAAATATTAATTCAAATCTTAAAAATATTTTACACAAATAATAGCCTATATTAGACACTACCTAATTGTTTTACTTTCTATATTTTTCCTATTGTTGTACACAGGGATCCTTGAAAGGATATACCAACTGAACAGTCAGAACAGCAGTATAGTGAGGACATACCTTTGCAGTGCTGTTGATCATTTCGCGAGCACGTACGGAGACAGGGGGTGGGGTTGCGGATATAGGTAATTTTTTTTTATAATACCAACTCACGAGGCTGACAAGTCGTGCGCCTGACGGTAAGCGACACGCCTGTCCATAACAGTTGTAGTGACACTCAGAGCATTGAAACGCAAAGATCGGAGGGACACCGCCACTGCGCCTGTTACCTTGAGACATAAGTTGACAAGTCCCATATGCCTGTAATTTCACCAGCACCCTTACCCTTTCAAACCGGAACGCAGTAACGCTCACAGTACTGCTTGGCGGCAGAAATAGGCAACGTGGTAATACTTCCCTAAATAAAAATACATAATATATAATATAAATAGGTAGATAGGTAGATAAAAACTTTAGTCACTTCCATGACAACTTATTTACATAGGATCCACTAAAACTAACATCATAATTATGTTATATTGAACCACTTAAAATAACAAATTCTTATAATAAAAGGCCTATATAAAATAATTTGCGTTTGTATGCATGTATATTACTTATGAACTTCTCTGACATTAAATGTTACCAAGAGATTACACAATTACGGTAAACGTAAACGTGGACAAATATACCATTTAAAATTAAATAAATAAACGCAACAGGTATAAAAAATAACATCAAATGGTAGACTTTTTGTCATGTTTATTGTCGTTGCATCACATTCAGAATTCTTCAGCATTTCATTTCTATTTCATAATCGTACTCCATAAGCGATACTGGCGTAAAAAAAAATCAGTACGTAAGTACTGCATTTTAATTCTACACGGGAATAATTATATAATGAACACAGAATAAACACCTTAACGCCTCGGCCACGAAAATATCGCCACACTTGAAGCGTCAACTCGGTAAAAGCGTCAATTTTAAAACGTCAAAATACACCCACGAAGATTGGTAATTAGCTTACAGCTCCTTCGGTGGTGGGGTAAAGTCAAGTAATTCTTTTTACGAATTAAATAGTTAATATTGTTTAATATTTTTGGTGGAATTTACTTTAAATATGTATTAATAATAATAAGTAAATTAATAACTATTTGCTTTCAGTAGTAACCAAGAAATATTTATTTAATTATCAAATAAACTCAAACAGTTACATGCTAAACAAATGACACACATTGAATAAGCAAGATTAAGTACATATGAACCAACAACGTGTTCCTCAAATGTGTGACAATTAAAGCATTCTATGACTGACGTGACACATGCGCGCGTAGTATTGTGGAATAACATTTCAAAGGGAATTTTGAAATATTATTCCACTTAACACACTTAATTTAAGAATTATAGGGAGAAATTAAGTAAAATAAATAATAATTAAAACGTATATGTTATATAGCCACATACCAGTGGCAAGGCGTCCATATAACTCGATTCCCACCGGCTTGCCTAAAATTTTCCACTAAGTTAAACTCTGAAATGAAGTTAACTGGTATCTAATAAGTGTTGTTTTTAAATGTCGCCAAGGCGCCTTTTTAACGAGAAACGAAATTTTTGTTGAAGTGTTTTTGTTTTTTCAAAAAGTTAAAGCTTCGGCTTTACCGAGAAAAATGTTCACGCCTCGCCACTGCCGCATACTTACATTATATTCATAAATAAATACATGTACATAACAATACATATCCAATTACGAGTAGTTACAATAATAAGTATAAATACCATAATAATCAGAAGGAGCCACTGTTCAGTATGATAGAAAGTTCACGCTTATACCTGTATAGAGAGGTACTAAATTGATCCATGTTTTGGAAACCATAATTATGATTGCAACACATCCTATAAACTGGAGAGCGTTTACCGACATTGGTACGACAAAATCGGGGTGAGAAAAGGACTTTATATCGAGGAGTAAGAACGAGTACTTTATATTTAATTTTGAAGACTAACTTAGAACAATCAATCTGATTATTTATAATTTTATAGAGAAAATGAAAGCAAAATAAATTGTTTGGAACGCTGACGCGCGGAGCGACGGTTTCGTGTACACTACGGAATTTTCTCGTATAATTTTTCTTGTCGCCCGCAAAAAACGTAACGCTTGTGCAAATTCGCTCAAGCTAATTACTCTGCATCCTGCAGCGCTACTTTCGCTACTCGACGCTTGTAGCAATAAAGGAATTCTCGGCTCGTGGCCCTCGCGTATTGTTTCAAATTATATTTACAATCAGTAGGTAAACTGGAATAACAAATGTGACGACCCTACGCTCTGAGACACGTTTAGGCATTAGTTTTATATTAGTAAAAAGTATTTTAACTGTGAAAACTTTCTCAGGAACATGCAAATGGTCCTCTCGTCTCTCATGAAACACCCTCCCTACAACGTGCAACTAAGCTGCCTAACAGAGTGCCCGGCGCAGGCGCAAGCAGCCGCCGCGGAGTGCTCCTTCGTGCCCTCCATTCCTCGACTGCAGATGATGGTCGAGAGGGCTTGGCAGATGGGCTTCGACACGCAGGTACACTTTCTATATCCGTTTGTCTGATTTATTTCAGAAGGGTCCCCATCACGGAAGAAAAAGCAATGGAATTACTACTGGAACCGCTGTCGATAAACTCACACATTCATAATTTTAAACACCATGAAAATGATTGACGATAATGGTTGGTCGTAGTTTCAAATTTAAAAAGAAATAAATTCTGAACTGGTAATATCATTTAAACTTTACCCTGTATATATTATGTATATCGTTGAAAGTTCAATATCATCAATACATATTATTGCAACTTGCAACGTTTTTATTTTATACTGAAATTTCAATCAATGTGCTGCCATCTAGCGGTTAATAGCTGAACGACGACGAATTCGAGATGTTTACTTAGTTCTCCAAAAAAGAGGCGACCATATTGCAGCGGTATAAGATTTACTTTAGTTTCTTATAACAAAATAATATTAGGATAAACAGAAAATTGAAAATTTGTTAAAATTAAAAAAAAATGCCTAATGATGATACGAAATACCACCATAGGTAATATTACAATTGCGATATCATTTTCGCACTCCAAAGTAGCGAAATAAGGCATTTTTCTACGATTTCCGAGGTTTCCGTCTCCGCGAACTGTTGACACACGTAGCACGCAATCTAAACACTTCTACAGCTGCATTTATTGTTCCATGATTCCCACGGTAAAAGCTATTTCAAAATCAAAATCAAAATCAAAATAATCTTTATTTCATAGGTAAGCATTATTACACTTGAAATCGTCACAATGGTTAAACTCTACCGCTCATTCGTAAGGCAGATTCCCCTGAGAAGAATGAGCAAGAAACTCTAGGGGTTGCTCTTTGTAAATAACATTTACAATATTTTTTTTATTTGAAACATCAGATTGAGACTACCTCCATGAGCTAAACGGGTTACTACCACGGATTTTTGTCATCCAAGTACGCAGAAGTTGTATAATAACCTTTAGTATAAAGTTTTTGTTTCACTATAGTTTTAAACCTCGTGAAAGGCAAATTTTGTATATCAACCGGAATCTTGTTATAGAAGCGTATACATTGCCCCTTAAATGATTGTTTGACTTTGTGAAGACGACTATCAAGAAAAGCTAGTTTATTTTTATTCCTCGTATTAATGTTATGTCTGTCACTATTTTTCATAAAGAAATTACTATTCCTTTTAACATAAATTATATTTTCATAAATGTATTGTGAGGCTAGTGTAAGAATGTTAATTTCCTTAAACTTATCTCTCAAAGATACTTTGGGGCCCAGATTGTAAATTGCCCTAACTGCACGTTTCTGCAGGACAAAGATTCTATTGATATCGGCGGCAATACCCCAAAGCAAAATGCCGTATAATTTGTTTTTATGTTTGGAAAGAGTAATCTTTTTATTATATTATATTATGTTATAGGAAAATATTGTGAAATAGAAAATAAAATTATTTATCTATAAGTGCTTTACATGTGTTGTCGTTATTAAAATATACTTATGAATATATTTATACACTCACAAACACATGCACCTTGACAGGCATTGCAACATGGAAAGGGAGAGGGACAGACGTTAATTATAATTTATCTTGGAAATACCCTTCCACATAGTAATAACTTTTAGATGGTAGTTTTTTCAATGCATTCATAAATTTGTTTATGTCTGATTTTGTTTTAAAACATTCTGGGAGTTTATTGTAGATTTTTATTGCCATGGGGTGAGGTCCGGAACTATGTATTTTCATTTTATATGTCGTTTGTATTACGTTGTTTTTGTTTCGAGACATGTGATTCAGACATTTCATTCATTACACTCAGTATGGAACACTTAAAAATAGTGTTAGTATTACAAATAACCTATTCTTTTCTTTGTGTACATATATTAAATTCATATTCATTTATATTCGGGTTTAGTACTCCTGAAAAGAACCCTGGACCAGAGAACAAAAAAGTAAAGAGAATGGACACTCTCCGCCCCTCCTTAGATTTAGATACCGCACCACGCCCCCCATATTGACGGTCACATTGACTATCCTATATATCCTATAGCCGTATTTACGCTAAGACGGCTGTGATGTTTGAATATTTTTCATTTGTTCATTACGAAACTAATACGTAAATATGTAAGATTATTGTACGTTACTATTTATAATGGTCGTGAATTGTGCTGTGTACGGCAGTTTATTATAATATAAACGTGATATGGAGGAGTTTCTTTCGTTTCCCGAAAGGTGAAACGAAGATGACAAAAATTTATGTCTGAGACTCAGTTGTTGTTTTCTTCATTTATTTAGTGCAGAGTACCAAAACTTACTTACCTAGCTCACGAAGTTATGGCGTTATGGCGTCTAGTAAGAAAATTCGACTTTTTCAAAATTCTACTTTCAAATTAAACATTGAATTTATAGACAAAGGTTCTCGAATTTTCAATATGTATTCCTGATAAATATTACGTAGTGAACATACCTAATTATTAACTAGGTAATGATAAAATTAGATACGCAATTTCAAGTACCTTGGTTACCTTATTTAAAAGTACCTGTCCAAAATACAACATTTTAATTTTATTACAACATTTTATTTTCATTTTAATACCTAAATTTACCTAATGAACATGTGCAATTATTAGGATTCTATTAATAGAATTAAAGATAACAGATTCGCTTAAGAACTGTCGCTGTGTTGCCGCCCTGACGTAACGTAATTGTGTGCACATAGCGCCTTCCTGTATGTAGTAGTAGTAGGTAAATAACTTTGGACCGTTGTATGGAGTGTCCGGGGTGGGGCTGGATCCTGGATGATAATGGAACCGGCACATCGAGGATGGTTCACAACAAAATTTACATCCCAGTCTATGGCCTAAATCCTCTTCTTAGACGAGACGTATGCCCGGCAGTGGGACCTATAATGGGCTGACGATGATGTTTTTTCAGGGCTCGGAACAACTAGGTTGCAAATTGTACAATACACGAAAGTGGATCGGTGCATGCGAAGTAATCACGGTGCTTTCTTCACTTAGAATAAGGTATGCCTCTTTTACAATAATAAATAGACATTATAATGTTAAAATATATCATTTTAAATATTAACTACAATAATAAGAGTGCAATTGTGAAGTTAGAATCTTTGCACGTTTAGAGGAATTTACATACTAATTTTCAATGTGAAGTCTCATACTTTATTGCATACCATAATGCAATGCGCGAAGGTGATAAATGACATAAATCAAGATCATCATCAGCGGTACGAACTTTAAATCGCAAAGATCTTATGGGCTACCACTGCGCCCGTCACCCTAAGTTATAAGTTGACAAGTTCCATGTGCCTGTATATTCACCAGCACCCTTTACCCTGTAAAACCAGAACGCAATAGAGCTCGCATTATTGCTTGGTGACAAAAACAGATAATGTGGCATTACTTCCCTAGACGAACTCTTTCACAAGGCGCTCTACTGCTACTAAACTGGATATTACGGACCCTGTAAGAGCACAACAAAAGACAAAGCTTGCATAAATTATACAATTATTTATGCTACATCTTTAGTCAGACGCTGGTAGGTGAAGGCTGAGTAAAGAAAAACTTTCATCGATTTCTCATAGTCAAAAAAGTCGTCAAAAACCAAAGACAAAATCTTCAACAAGCGGATAGAAAAAATTGTAAGGTCAGCTAGTTCGTTCAGTACAGTTGTGAGAGCGTCAGGCATGGTATGCAGAAAGCGCTGAATAATTATAGCAAACTAGTGGAGTAATTTCACATAAAAAATAATTGAACATCAATTCAATAAAAATTTAATGGAGTGTCATTTATATAGACAGTGAAACATCCTAATATTCAATAAAGTTGATATTATAATTTTAACTTTATTCTATTTACTTAAGCGTTAAAATTAATACAAATAGCTCATTATATGTCTGTGAAACAAAACTAACAATATTATAATTAAATAAAAATGGAAGTAAATTAATTTGCTATTCCGCGAACCTAGTGAAGGTTAAATCGTGCAAAATAGCTGCGCTGGTGTTGAATATTTTTTCATGCAATCAATTTTCCCACCCTCCTACTTTCTTCGACCGAGTGTCGAGCAATCAACAACCCCTGAGGATGCCTGGTGGAGAGGCGAAACACGTGTAGGGTATATTGTTGATGGTGGTTTGTGACTGTAGTTGTAGTTGTGTGTGCACAAGCGCAGCTATTTTGCACGATTTAACCATCACTGGGTTCGCGGAGTAGCAAATTAATTTACTTCAATTTTTATTAACATGGACTTCCTCAAAGTAACGCCTGAATCTATTAATTACTTATAATTAAACTTTTATTGAATTGATATTCAATTTTTTTTTTGTAAAATTACTCCACTACTTTGTTACAATTATTAATACAAAGATCAAACACTGAAAACAAATTCCTTTTGTTTCTTCCGTCTCTGTTTTCATTGTCTATACAAGCGACACTGTCGATTGTAGATGCCAGCTGATAGACTTCCACAAGCCAACCAGTCCTGATGGTAGCCACCCTGCCCTCTTCGACTGGGTATTAAAATACTTTCAGGACGATCCCAATGGGTTCAAGGCGCCTCTCTACTTGCAGCATCAAGGTAATGATGTTTGTTATTGGGGCCGGTCGAAACTTAATGATATCATACAAAACACACAATTTTTCCCATTTTTAACCGACTTTAAAAAAGGAGGAGCTTCTCAATTCGATTGTATGTGTGTTTTTTGTGTGTGTATGTTACGCGATAACTCCGGTATTTGTGAACCGATTTTCATGATTCTTTTTTGTTGGAAAGGGGGTACTTCCATAGTGGTCCCATTTCATTTTGAAGAAAATCATCCACCTTTAATGGTGGCTGTTCACGCATGAAGATTCATTTTTATAAATAGCGCCTAACTTTAATTTAGAAGCAATTATTTTAATGGTTGATTTTGCTATTTCTCCAAATCAAGGCGTTTTTCTCTCAATGTATTTTGAGTAGTGAGAACCGATTATTATTATCTCCAGTGTCAAATCCTGTATAGTGGCGAATTAAGGATATTTCAATAAAACTTAGCAAATAGACGTAAATCCACGTACTTTTGAGGTCGGTTTTTTTAGTACTCTGTACTGAGATTATTTTCTATATTTTGTCTTCGTCCTAGCTTTCTGTGTATTACACACAAGGTGTTATAATTTTGCCGTATTTCAGGTCACTCTCGAACAATAATAGGTTATGAGAAACTTAAAGACGGCAAAGCGACTCTTCTGGTATTGGATCCATCACATTCTCCTGCTCAAGTGAGTTCAGTAATGTCTATCAATTTTTTTTATAATCAATTTCTATTTATTAGTTTATTTCTAGTGATACTACTTTATTTTGTATAAGTGTAAATTGGGCGTTCCCTTGTAACCATTGTTGTGATATATTTATCATAACCAACCTTTGTTGGGCGCCAACGCTATCTTAAAGCGATCGTGTGCTTCATTACGTAAACCAAAAATATTTTGAGTGAATTATGGCTAATATGAAATAAATTATTCTATTCTTCTTTGCGTCAAAAAATAAACTACACAATTATTTAATATTTTTTCACAAAGAAATTGAGAAATGTTGGTTCCTATATCTGTAACTAGGTACATACTAATATTAGATATTAACATCGAGTATATAACCAGAAATAGAGACGAAATAAGGGCCATCTCTGGCAACTCATCGGGCAAATGGGCCTTATATCACTTTTAAATGACAACAACTGACCTGTGTGTACGTCTTCGTATATTCCAAAAATATTCTGTATTTATTGTAATAAAGATAATATCTCTAACTACAGTATAACTATAGTTCCATTCGATAGTGTGGGAAGAACAGCAAAACATCTAATTACAAAACGAACGGGATCACAGTTCATTGGTAATTAAATATGAAATATATAATTTTTCAATTTTCGTCCATTATAGCAAAGCTCAAGTTAAACTGGTAGACCTGAAGTGAAACAATTGACGACACCCGTCAATTGTTTCGGATTCGGGCTGGCCAATCGGAGCGCAGTTGTCACCGTAATGAATTGGCAGATTATTTTTCAAACAAATTAAATGGCATTCCGTCTCTATTTCACGTAATATACTCGATGGATATTAATCACCATAGTATTAAATAATTTTTTTCGAATAGTCTTTAACTCCATTCTAGACCTAGATTCAAAGTGCAGATCTGCCTATTCACCTTTTAAATGTACAATTTCAGGTTCGTCAAGTCCTTTGCGGCAACACATCAGCTTGTATGACAGCGTTAAGACTGCTGCGTCGAGGATCATCAGCTCTGCGAGCGAGACAGTATCAACTGTTATGCGTCAATGGAGTCATGACCAGTGACGCGGAGTACGAGGTAAGTCACTAGCCTCCTCACCACGTTAATTGAAAGTCAACCTGATATTCAGAGAGATATATGTACATCCCTCGAAACCCATTTTCTCAGTAGACTAAGCTGCATATTAAGTTGTATATTAATATTATTTTGTGTATTAATCTATATTAATTTGTATGCTCATCTGTATATTAACCAGTACAATTATACATCTATTTGTGTTTGTATATATTTCAATTTGTATATTAATGTATGCATTTATCTATATATTAGACAATATATTCATCTGTATATTAACATGTATACTTGATCCAGTATGTATAATTGTTTGCAGGCCAGCAAAGTCCTGCAGTCAGTCCGAATCCCATAGTGCAGGTGAGAGGGGCCGTCCGCCCACGAAACATCACCCTAGTTCACATTCACGCTTTACAATATTACGTTATTAACAAAAAAAAAGGTGGAGGAAACTGGAACTCTATTCGCACGGTTTTTTTAAAGATTTTTTGCAATTTTGTTTTTAATAATTTTAAAATAATTTTTAATGAATTTAATTAGTTTTTGTTTTTTGAAGAAAAAATAACAAATATAATATACAATGGTACTAGTTCGAGGGTAATAAAAAAAAATGCCCTTTGTAAAAATTTTAATGGAACAAATTTATTTACAAAATTTGACTAAGAATCTTGAGTTCTATGTTGTGGTGTGGATAATTAAAGTAACTTCGCTGAATAACTTCTAACGCAGTGGGTAGATTTATAATAAATACAGGGTGAAAATAATAGATTGATCTGTAAGTACGTAAACATGTGGTAGAAAAGTAGTTTAATATCGAACATACAACCCTAACTGTAGTTTCCAAACTTACAATCGTTCGCTAATCGTCCTTCTATGAAGATATAATGTTTAGAACAATTGTCCAGAATCATATAAACAATCTGCCAGACAACCACGTAAGATATTGCTGAACGCTCAATGTCAATGGAAAAGTTCGTTTCCCCAATTAGGTCTCACCAGGAATCGAACCCAAAAACCCCTCTATAGCACCCATGGCGAGGGCGGTAACCACTCAAGGTCGTCAAATACATCAAAAGCGTGTATGATTTTCGCAAAAGTCACGTTGACTTGACCGTTTTTATCCATAGAAAAAACTTAATATTTTATGAATTTAAAAAACTTTACTTCCGCTTTATAATAGTTTCCTCCACCGATATGCAAATAATAAATAATGTATTTCTTTAATTCCGTCAATTATTTAAACAATATTTACTTGTCAATTTAGCAAATAATTAAAATATAACTATATTCCTTGCTACAACGACAAACTTGCGGTAAAAAAAAATTAAAACAATAAAAAAATTTTATACAGACTCCAGTTTCATCTTAATAAAGTACCTAATTACGAAATAAATAGAATTTAAAATAGTATTACATAAATGTTTGACAAGTGAACAGAGAATGTTATCGATAAGACATTGGATAGGATGGTGGTAAAGTCAATATAAAGGTTTGATAAAAATTACCTTATTTAAGCAATTTTAATCAAAGGTGCATCGTAAGTTTTTTTGTAATAGGGTTGATTTTTATCAAATGCTCGTATAAATGGAAATCTATTTCGCTGTAAAGATTATTTTGAAGTTCAATAACCTCTACAGGCGAAACTTTCAAACGTATTAGACCAGTGTTTTCAATTTGACGTATACAATGTCTCCATTAATTATCTGACAACAATCATACTATCAGCAAAGTCGACGTGTTACCACCTTAAGGGTTATTTTTGCGTGCAGACAGCGGCGGTCAATAGCTGCCACCCGCAGCTTGCTTGTTCTTGTCAACGAATGGCGTTTAAGGGTCATTATAAAGAAAAGCTTTCAATAAAAAACGACAGAGCTAGCTATGATCTCCACTTGTAAACGAAAGATTTTTTTACTATGAGGACTCCATCCAAACTCAAGACCAACCAAAATGTGTTTCAAACATTTGGCTCGAGTAAGAACCATTCCGCTCGAGAAAGTATCATTTACCTCAAGCAAGTATCATTTGGCTCGAGTGAATATCATTTGGCTCGAATAAGAATCATTTAGCTCGACGAAAAATCATTTAGCTCAAATATCATTTAACTCGGGTAAGTATCATTCGGCTCGAGTAATTATCGTTTAGCTCCAGTAAGTATAAACATTTATTATGGTAAGTCCTCGTAGTAAGAGATACCCTCTCCTTCGAGGAAACTGTGCTCCACAGTGGGACGTTTAATGAATCGATGATGGTTATGAAATAAATCAAGTTCCATTTATTTTATATAACAGAATGTCAGCAGGTAAATTAAGGACTTTACTCACTGAAAATTTCTTTTATAAGAATTAAATTATTCTCTACCATTTCCACTTTAAATTTCGTATTGATTTTACTGACATTTTAATAATAATCATTTTTTCTTATCCCGACAGTCTCTGTTAACTTGTCAAAGAAATAAACATAGTAATGCTTCATGACATTGCCTTCGAGTCTGTAAGTTATAACTTAAGTTAATATAATAACGGAGTAACTGATATTGCCTATACAATGTAATAGGTGTATTAGTTACTTCATACTAAGTAATTGCTTAAACTTAAGAGCTTAACTTGGAGTATTTTTAAGTCAATAAGTAATGAGCTCTTAGTTTTAAGTATTATACAGGGCGACGAGGGATATAGACGAATATTTTTCAATAACAAACAAAAATACAAGGTGAAAATGGTTGTGCTGTATTACAAAATATGTTAGTAACTTTAAATGCTTGTTCTTATTACTAAATATCGACCCCTCCTACGTAAAGGATCGTATGTCGAAATTGCCAAGTTTACAGGGGAGTATTCGAGAGTTCTGAATTCACTCGTTACTTACATAGAGTGATCATCTAATAGATCATCTAACCGATATCTAGAATTTTATAATACTCTATGTGAGTAACGAGCTTTGCCGAATAAAACTGAGAAATGCCACAGTCACGCATTATGCTTATTTAGTGAATTCAGAAGTTTAAAACGCTCCCCTGTAAACTTGGCAATTTCGACATACGATACTTTACGTAGGAAGGGTCGATATAATCCCCTTCACCACGCTTAGACGTAAATTATAATTTTGACAAGAAAAGTTAGTTATCTAATTCTTCTTATCGTGACGAGGTTTGTTTTTAGGACTTTATTGACTTTGAATAGTACGTTATTGTCTTGACTTTGCTATCTGTGGCCACGTAGAGATCTTCCGTCGTACAGGTATTAAGGCACAAGCGGCGCTACAGCTACATGGACTGTGTTAGTGCACCGAATTCACTTTGGGCTAGACTAGCATTCCTGAACCCTCATTTATTAAGTCGATTCAAGAACTTCCACACGACCACCGCAGATCGCAACCTAGTAATTGCTCTTAAAGGATGATGGAACTAGGTGTTGGGGGGTTTTCAGTTTTCATAGTTTTTTTTTTATAATATCAAGTGACACGCCTGTCCATTGTAGTGGCACTGCCACTGCGCCCGTCACCCTGAGACATAAATTGATAAGCCCTATGTGTCTGTAATTTCACCAGCACTCTTACCATTCAAAACCGGAACGCAGTAATGCTCACATACAGCGTACCGAGTTACGACTTTTGAGGTGACCTCGAAGGATTTGGTGGCCATAACCGACGGCTACCTATCAGTAGGCCGAAATGACATTTTCCAGAAATAACGTTTGGTCGAAATTTCATAACCTCGAAAGTAATTTTGAGAAGGAAATGTGTTTTTCTTTTAAACTTAACCTAACCTAACCTACTCGTGTCTTTGAGATAAACATTCAACATATCCTGAAAGAACAACTGTTTCGTTATAATTCGGTTTTCGGTGTAATGAAAATTCAAACAAACGTTATTTCGGACAAAAAATTTCGACTTTGTGATAGGTTACCATAACTGACTTACGTGTTATCTAATATAATGTCATTTATAATCTCCCAAAATCGACAAATGTACAAGTAAATGTTATATATAAATCTAGATAAATCCTTTGCAATGGTACTCCTGGCTCCCCCTTTGGGTAAAAGTAAGAATTAATATCCTATGTTGTATATTTATTTATTTTTATCACTCACAACAGCAGCTCTTATGCTGAGCGGACTTATTACGATTTTGTGATATCAACTACTTAACTGGCGTCCGTGGTAGGTTCAATGTTGTGATTTTAGTATTCATTTTTGTCAAAACTAAAACTTACGTCCATGTTTTTACGTGTCTCACGTTAGTAATAATAATAATGTGCAAAACAGGTACACCAATATCTGATCTCAAATAAAAAAATGTAGTGAAATTACAGGCACTTGGACTTTCTCAACTTATGTCTTAGCGCCTGTCAAGACGCGATGGCAGTGCCCCTCATATCTTTGCGATTTAAACTCTAAGTGACACCGCAACTGTTAAGGACAGGCTTCTAGCTTACCTTACAGCGACGAAGTTGACGGAGCATTATCTAGAGCAGAACCAATTTATACCACCAAATTGGTCCTACCGGTTATTAGTCCCGTTGGTCAACTGAGATTTTGGACGTAGTAGGGTCCAACTCTTATTTAAACACTATGCTAACAGTGATTTGCTTCCATTTAATGTTACATGTAATGTATAAAAACATCGTCTATTTTCCTGAGCGCCCTGTATACAAAAAATGAAACTTTAAGCTTAGTGATACACAAAGATAATTATTTTGCACGTACACTATAGTTCCTAAAGGAATCAATATTATAAATATTACATTAAACAATAAATAGTTACATTAAAAATATTGAAAGTTACTTTTAAATGTATTTGTTGCTTAAAAAGAAAGGTTGATATGGATCAAGTCTTAATGGTGCTGTTCATTTATTATCTGTGGCCTGCACGCAGCTTGTACACGCCGAAACATGGTTCCCAAATACCTAATTGTTATAAGAACAAAAATTTTTTCTCCACGTATTCTGCAAAATTTAAGGTGCAGATTTGCTCGATTTTTTGACGATGAACACTTGTAATCAGACAAAATCGAGTAAAATTGTGTAAAAAAAATAAGGATCGATATCGTATTTTTTTATCGACTGCCACGTGTGATCAGACGAAATCGAGTAAATGTGTAAAAAGAGACGATGGATGTCATATTTTTTTGTAGATCGACACATGTCCATTGTCAAAAAAATGAAGAAAATCTATAGGCACCTTTACAACGTTCCACTTCTTCCTCGTTTCTTCACATACGTAATTGAGACGTATGTAGTTTGAAGAAATTTAATTTTTAAGAGACTACAACGTACCTTATCGATTGCTTATATTTAATTTTAAAAACTTATATCCTTTTGTATAGTCTACAGCGCGCTGGAATTTACACTTGGACTTCAAATTGAACTCTTATGTTAATTATTACAAGAGCCAAAGTGTAAAAGTCAAGCGTGCTTTCTTTAAAAAATA